CAAATAAATTTTACTTTATTTTAACACTTCCAGCTATATTTTGCATGGAATTACCAAGTAAGTAGTACAGACGTTTTTTTAACTCTTAATTTTATTATCGTATTGACCATCTTCCAACAATAAAAATATCCGTAAAAACGGCAAATCAAAAGAGAGAAATCTGAAAAAAATCGGGCTGAAAAGTCCGCCCTGTAAGCCACCGAATTGAAAGTAAGCGTAGCATTGAATCAATAGACACTTGTTGGAGTCCCCTCCCTCTTGCGATCAAACAAAACAGATAAAGGAAACTCTTTAAATATTTTACACAAGTTTTCCCACCGAGCGCTTTTATTCCCAGATTTACGCTTTTTGTTTTCTTCCCGCCGTTTTATTGGCGCTTCTTATTTCTCTTGATTTATTACTTCTTTATACACGTTCATTGCAGTATTGTTTGACAGATTGTTTTTAATTAAATCCTACTCGGTTCTTCAGCTTTGTTGCTACCCTTTGAGCGCCCCTTTGATTACAGATTTGAAGTTTCTGTTTTGTTGGACCGTTTTGTTTTCGAATTATCAGTTGTTTTGGAAGACAATAAATTTGTTTTTGACTATAGATTGTTGTTTCTATGTGTCGAATAAACGACACTGTTCGCCCTGAATGCATCCGAACATCTTGAAACCTAAGTGTATTTTTCAACAGTACGGCATATGTGTTTCTTTCTCTTTGGCTTCAATTAAAACATTAAGGATTGATAACCTTTTATTTGGGTCGAAACTATGACTGGGTTGAGCCTGTATGATGTGACCTGTCTACTGCTCCTGTGTCTGGGACTGGCTCAGGCTTTAAGCCGTTACAGAGTGGTATACAAATATTGCAGGTAATACAAATTACGTGCAATGTACCAAATTATCATTGACTCCACTATAAAGACTTACTGGGAGCGAGCTAATGTAGTGGTTAGAGCCTGGGACTTCGGTCCGTGAGGTCCCGGGTTCAAATCCCGCCAAATCACCAATGGATTTTATCTAAGTGATAATGCCGCAACCCCTAGGTCTAGCCTGAAGTAATGTGAAAAACAATCCCGGGCTCCTGCCTAGCGTCCTAGGACAAAAAACTATAAAGACTTACTAGATAGTTTATTTGTGGTATCATTTCACCTCTTTAGCAGATGGTATAACGGGGATCAATGCCACTTAACGCTAATTCCACTATATTGAAAGACCGGAGGATATTGTGGATTTGTAGTAACGTTTTAACTTTCATAGATTGTACAATTGACTCTCGATGCCACTAACTAACGGTAACTCCACTATATCGACAGACCAGATGATATCATTGATTTGTGCCAACATTTTACCACTTTTGTAGACAGTATGATGGGTTTAATGCCACAAACTGACGGTAACTCCACTATATTGACATACCAGATGATATCGTTGATTTGTGCCAACATTTTACCACTTTTGTTGACAGTATGATGGGTTTAATGCCACAAACTAACGCCAACTCCACTATATCGACTGGCTGAGCAGCCCAGGGCCGGTTCGCCCACGTGTGAGTCATCATCTCCCTCCAAAACAATAGTGATGTCGCGCCAACGCGGGAAACCCGGCAGCAAGTTTTCCACCTTCGTTGTTACATATGATACATTCTTATTATCCATTCATTGAGGTGTTATTGGTCACAGCCATGGCTCATTAAAAACTATTAGCTAATAAAAGCCATTAATTTTAGGAAGTTTACCTTTGTTAAATACTAAAAGACTACAAATTATCATTTACAATTAATACAGAAACGGAGTGTGTATTTCACGGTACAGTAACATATATGTAATCAACGGTACCTCACTCATTATTCATACTCCTTCACTTGAAACACCATTGTAACAATTGACCGTCAAACACATACAGCGCTCCCGCACGGTCGCCAATGGTCGGTTTTGTTACGGCGAGTGATCAGTGATGACCAACGGCCGGCGGAGCGCTCGTGACGTCACAGGCCGTTGACCCTCGCCGTAACCTCTACTCCGCTGTTTATAAACAAACGTGCCATGCCCTAGTTGTCCTCCGCCTCACCCACTGCTTCTAATTGACTACTGATATGTCAACTGCCAATCTGGTCGAGTAAGTTACATCCTGCTGTCTTTGTTGCTGAAACTTTGTTGGAGCTCTACAAATGTGTTTCTGTGTGAGGAATATCAGTATCACTAACCTTGTGTGCTCTAATTGATCTATCTTCAGGTACCTCGATATGACGAGCTTATCGATTTACGTAGTCACTTTTCAGGTTCCTGGATAACATGAGTTTATCGATTTATACAATCAATATTCAGGTACCTTGAAATGACGAGCTTATCAATTTACGTAGTCACCTTTGAGGTTCCTGGATAACATGAGTTAATCGATTTATACAATAAATATTCAGGTACCTTGACATGACGAGCTTATCAATTTACGTAGTTACTTTTGAGGTTCCTGGATAACATGAGTTCATCGATTTATACTATCAGTATTCATTTATCTCGATATGACGAGCTTATCGATTTATTTTGTCACTCTTCAGGTCCCTGGATAACATGAGTTTATCGATTTATATTATCAATATCCACGTACTTCGATGAGTTTATCGATTTATACTATATTCAGATAATATTCAGACCATCGATATGACGAGCTTATTGATTTGTTTAATTGCTGTTCAGGTTCCTGTGCAACCTGATGTTATCGGTTTATATTATCAATCTTCAGGTTCCTCGGTATAAATGAGCTTACTGAATTTGACCCACAATTTGGAGGAAAGGGGTTCAAATCACACCAAACCCCAATGGATTTTAGCATGTGATATAATGCCCGGGAGGTTGGAGTCCACTTGAAAATCTTTTAACCTATCTTTATTGGGGGATCTCCCACCACGAAAATCAATTAATTATATAACTTAAGTTTTAATGGTTTTCTTAACTTTTTATGATCATACTATTAACTTTATTCAAAGCTTACTTTAAAATACATTGAACGTTTTTAATCTCATAAAAAAATTGCATGGGATAGTTTAGAAAAGAATCTGGTAGTTTACTTAAGGAAAATGATTTAAATGTAAAATTTATAATTTCTAATTCACATAAATGAAACGTACTTTATTCACAGTTGAGTTATCAAAACTGAAGTATGAAACTGAATAAATGTCAATTGGATCGGATTTAACTTAGACGGGACAACTCTTAACAATTCTTAGAATTGAAGGAAATGTCATAAGTTGAATATCAAGTTTGTCTTCGTGGCAAGATCAAATTAAAGCTAGTTTGTAGTTTCACTAGAGAAATAGTTGTTATTTACGTCTGTGTCGACCTTTCTTCGTTTTGTTGGCATCATGCTTCATTTTTGTCTAAAGGAGATTAATAAAAAATTACTATTCAATACTGGCTGACCAACAGTTTTTGTGAATGACTTTTTAGTTTTAAGCCAGGGTTAAGTTAGGTTCGCTCTTGGAACAAACAGTTCAAGCAGAACATTTTTATTATATGGATATAATAGAATGCATTTTCCAACCCTAGTCTATAAATGTATAACCATACTGGTTTTCAAACCTATTCACTATACAATACAGGGTGAATAAAAAGTCAAGACCCCCCCCCTCTAATATTTTTCCAAGTAAATATACAGAGATATCCTTTTGGTGGTCGAGCAATCTTAGAAGTTTCATTTTATCATTTTGAAATTTTTGAGTGTCCCCCCAAAAGGGGGGATTTGGGTGGCAACTCAAATATTTTAAATGTAAACCCCCTTCAAGTGACACCTCATTTTGAAGTGTTTGCAAAAACTTAAAGAATGGTGAAAACTATAGGTCGCTATCTCTTCTCTATCCAAAATGGTAGCCCGTCAAATGTTGTGGAAAATCAACGGTAAAATTGTTAATATTGGCTGCCATTTAAGATAGAGAAGAGATATCGGGCTCTGGTTTTCACCATTCTTTAAGTTTTTGTAAACACTTCAAAATGAGGTGTCACTTGAAGGGGGTTAACTTTTAAAATTTTTTAGTGTCCCCTAAAAGGGGGGATTCGGGGGACAACTAAAAATGTTTCAATAGAAACCCCTATCAAGTGACACCTCATTTTGAAGTGTTTAAACAAACTTAAAGAATGGTGAAAACCAGAGCTCACTATCTCTTCTCTATCCAAAATGACAGCCAATATTAACAATTTTACCATTGATTTTCCACAACATTTGACGGGCTACCATTTTGGATAGAGAAGGGATAGCGACCTCTAGTTTTCACCATTCTTTAAGTTTTTGTAAACACTTCAAAATGAGGTGTCACTTGAAGGGGGTTTACATTTAAAATATTTGAGTTGCCCCCAAATCCCCCTTTTTGGGGGGACACTCAAAAATTTCAAAATGATAAAATGAAACTTCCTGCTAAGATTGCTCGACCACCAAAAGGATATCTCTGTTAATTTACTTGGAAAAATATTAGAGGGGGGGTCTTGACTTTTTATTCACCCTGTATATTAAATCGGACTAGTGTAGGTTAAGTTAGGTTTTGCTATGGCCAGACCTGACAGAAAACGCACTATTTGTCAGAAACCAGAAGTATGATTAATTCTTTCTTGTTTTAGCCCATTCAGGAAGAATTTGATAAAACTATTTTAGTGTATGTTAGTTTTGGCTGTCTACTTCTAACCTCTTATGCCGTCAGGTAACCACCGTCGCTATAGTCTATACGATGGAACCTGTCCCCTAACCACGACTATGTTGTGGACAGGTTCCATCGTACAGATTATAATGTCAGATCCACGTAAAGGAGAAGTAAAATGACTCGGTCTTAACAATGAATTCCCAAGGTAATGTGAAGATGTCCCTCGAAGCAGTCGGTTTCAACTTCTACGTCAACATTTGTGGAGTTTACAAATTTGACACTGAACCTATGACCGTATCGAGCTATTTACGACATGACACCTGACTCACGACTCTTTGACTAGTCGTTCTTGTTTCAACCATTGGTCTTACTTATGACTTCCTCCGCAGGTTTCTCGACTGCTGGCACCATTTCCTCGGCGTGGACTCCGACCAGCTCCGGGCCACCGGGCGCTGACCCTGACTCCAAGTCGCAGCTGGACGTCGGCGACTGTGACGACGACAAGGATCTGGCGGCAGCGGACGCCGAAGGAGTCTGGAGTCCGGACATCGAGCAGAGCTTCCAAGAGGCGTTGGCCATCTACCCGCCATGCGGCCGTCGCAAGATCATACTGTCGGACGAGGGGAAGATGTACGGTGAGTAAAGGGATTTCATAAGATTTACAGTGGGATGTAGTCAGGGGTGGTTGCTTTTGAAAAAGTTTCCCTCCCAGTCCATTGAATTAAAAAGTCAATAACTTATCTCCTGTAGCTCCTGGACTCATATAGGGTGTCCAGAAGCGTTGCGTCTCCCGAGCGCCGAAGGCAAATGAGTATCCCCAGCGCCGAGGCCATACATTACCAAAGGGTCTGCTCAGTGATGCAGAAGTGACGAGGGTTAATACCTTCTATTTTAAAATCGTATCAATGAGCTTAATCTGTGAAGCAGTAAAGGTTAGGTTAAGTAACCCTCAGCCGCCACGAATCTTTGCGGAAGGTATAGTTTAGGTTAGGTTAGGTTAATCATTCAAGATTAAGTGCGAACATCTCAATAGTAAGAAGTCGGTAAGCTGAATTAAAAATATTAATTAAATGTTAATTTAGAATTCGAAACGTATCACGTCTGCAATGGAATGTATGTAAAATTAACGTCATTCCAGCGCTGATTGTGACAAAGCAACAAAAAACATTTGGGGCACACGCCTTTACCGTAGTTCGCTGCTTTTGTGAATTCCAATTCGGCTGTCAAAACTGTCAGATTATGCCAGATAGCCTGCTCGGCGCTGGGGAGACGCGGCGCTCGGGAGATTCGGCGCTCGGGAGACGGAATCGTCCTGAAGAGCCCGTCATCCATCCCTATCTTGTGCCAGGTCCCTCAGATGACCCTAAGCTCACAGCCTCCTCCACTGTTCTTCTCCAGGTGCCGCAAGGTCTTCCTCTCATTCGTGTTCCTTTCAGGTTTCATTCTAACGCCTTCTTCTCAATCAGTGTCGGGCTTTCAAAGGTCAATGTGTAAAAAAAAAGTAATTGAAAACCGTACGTTGTCGACTGCTCCAATTTTATTTTCATTTCCATTCTAAATAGTTAGGTTCTAAATAGTATCGGATGGTTTAAGCTAATGCAATTCTTTAGAATTTCCCTATTTTTTACGTCAATATCTACATTTTTTTGAACAGCTCCGAGCTGTTTCCATAGTTTTACATTGGATCTAGTGTTGTACCTCGTAACCTTGGTCTACGCTTAGGGCGTGTCCGAGTTTACCCGCAAATGTCACAGGCTTGTATTCGTTTCAATACTGTAATGTCAATTCAATTTGATGAAAATATTTATATCTTATTATTGTTGTAATCTTAATACTCGCAATACTCTTTTACACTGACGAAGGACATTCAAACTTGCCGGGAGCGTCGATTATTTTTACAACGTTTTATACTTCGACCAGAGATGTCGTCGCATAGGTCAGCTAGAATAGTAGTTAATGATGTAATGGAGACGTTTGTATTACATTTAAGTTATATTGCTTGATTGTGACATAAGCTGGATGGAAACATTTTACTACCTTTGTAAATAGGATGTCTACTTCGGGATATAAAGGAGGGAAGGGGGGGGGGGTGCCGTGTACAAATCTTGATTTTTTCCATCAATCGTAAATTTACATTTGAACTGGTCAAAAATAGTCGCATTTGTAACGTTATTGTTTCTATTAATGGGTATGTGATTTCAGACTATAGGTTAATCAGCTAAAAACAACAAAAAAGCGGGTGGGCATTAATTGCGCCAACTACTCTAGGAAGCCACCCGGATGGCGGCCCTCAATGACTGTATAGTAGAGTCGGTTAGGTTAGCTTAGGTTATGTTAGCTTAGGTTAGGTTAGGATAGGATGGATAAGGTTAGGATTACACGTAAACAAGAACATTCCTTCTGCCGGAAACTCACCCCAACCTAGTTTTGTGCTTGGCGCAATTAAGGAACTCTTGGCGCAATTAATGCACTACCCGAAAAACAACATTAACACGTATTAAATTTAATACAAATTCTTGTAGCAAGTGTAAGGTGAGCACGTGGAAAATTATCTCCGAATAAACTTCCCCGAAATTTCTTACAGACGATTCCTTATCTCGATGACGGGGTCAAGATTTAATGCAAATGGCGAACGACGGTGTACGTAGGAATGTTGCAATCTGTCGTCCACAGGGGGGGGGGTTGGTCACGTGGTAGGGGGGTCGAGGGGGGGTCACAATAATTGTCCCCTGTGATGAATTTGTGTTGCGTCCAAGACACTTCCGAAAAGCTATTTCGCTCTGGCGATTTACATGAAAATGAACAATGTGGACTTTTCCCTGCACAAGAATCCGAGCATGTAGGGGTGAGTTTATTTTTTGTGAAACTGTGGGAGTTTTTGTTTGTATATTTTTTTATTACTGAGTACGCACAAGTTATGGTTAGTGTAAAATAATGTTTAGGGGTGGAATCAACAATCTGATTTAAATCTGGGTGAAGTTAAATTAGTTTCAGGTTCAGATTAAATTTTTATTTATATCTTGAATGAAGACAGTTCATTGATAAATGGGCTGAACTGCGCTAGAGAATTGTTTATTTTAAACTATGGGTATTACTAGAAAATGAGGGTTGCATAATATTCCTTTTAGCGAATTTCCCTATAGGGAAGTAGCTATTACCGTAGGTCTCATGGTAAGACCTAAGCCCAGGACCGATTTACTTTTTCATTTTGATGTCCCCAGAGGCCAAAAACACCATTCGTTCAAATTTTTATATATCTATATATATATATATATATATATGTGTGTGTGTGTGTGTGTGTCCATCCGCACGATAACTTGAGTAATTTTTGTCCGATTTTGATAAAATTTGGTTTGAAGGTGTAAGGCAGGATAACCATGAATGAGTTCGCGAACCAGCATGATCGGACTATGGGAACGGGGGTTTATGGGGGGTTTTATGGGGTAAAAATAGGTTTTTCCCATTTTTGACCCTAAAAACACAAAATTTCACAATTTCTTTTTAAACCATTTTGTAGAGCTTAAAAAAACAAATAATTTAGTATATTGAAGCGTTATTATGCGCCTAATTGTTACGGAGAAAATTCAAAAAAATTGTAATTTTAAAATTCCCATGTTATTCTTATGGAGAATAAGTCAACTGTTGTAGTTTGCTTGTTTATGAACATATTTTGATCAAATTTGGAAAATACATTAATTTCTTACTAAACCACAGTACCTTTTAATATTTTACATTAAAAAAAAAAACTTTTACCCTCCCTGTTGCAGCAAACCTAAGTACTCATTAAACTAATTCTGTTTAAATAGGGAATAAATGTGATATTTTTAAGGAGACATTTTAGTTTAAATCTAATCAGGCAGATGGAAATTCGCTAAGTCTGCAGGTTTGCTGCGGCGGGGGTATTTTACGTACAAATTTAACATTTATGGCTTTCAATTATTTATAGTCTGAAGTTTTTGTTTTATGTTTCGAGTCAAACTGTACACATATTTGTAAATATATGTACTGTAAATTATAAATGTTATAAAATAATAAAGGGTATGCAGAGTAGACATGTTTTTACAAAATTGGTATATATTACTAAGAGGTAATTTTTAATTATTTTATATCTAACGTATTTTTTATTGGTCTCCCACTTTTTTGTGATCGCATATCAAAACAGAATTAATTTCTTGCATCGTGTATAGTTTAAATAAAATATGTAGACTGACATTTATGAGTGTAGTACAAATTATTTCGATTATATAGTAGTGTTAGTAGCTTTTCCATCATGTTAGATAAAACGTGTTACATCTTAAAAATAAATTTACATTCGAAGACAATTTCAAAAATTCTTTTTTAGTGTATGAAAAAATATTGCAAGTATTGCAGTTCCTCAAAATACTAATTTTAAGACGTAACATTTTGTGTACGAATAGAAATATATACAGTGTAAACTAAAACTAAAAATGTTTACGTGTACGGGTTAACCTATTTCCCTTATGAACTTATTTCCCGAGTTACAATTAGTGGGAGTAGAAACACCGGTGGAATTCCAAGCCGGCCACAAAAGCAGAACGGATTCGCCAAGAAATTCCCGGGTCAGGAGATAAGTTATTTAGCAGTTGGTCAGCTACCGTGGTTGTGTAATTGGAATAAAAGTGTGGGAGGAATCTCCGCAGGTAAATATTGTGTTGTAAGGTTGGTATAGTTAGGATAAAATTGCCCAAAAATAACGTGGTTAGACAGAAAGGAGGAGGGAAATTAAAGCAACAGTTGTGATCCATTCGTTGAGGTTAAGTTATTCCTTAGTTATTCGACACATAAACGAATAATTGATTTAATGAAGAGGCAACTTCCTTAGGTTATGCCGCATTGACGTTTTCACTCTTTTGCGACGTTATTCAATCTTGAATGTATGCCTCTTTGACGTAACATATTCTTGAGGTTATGTCACCTTGACGTTTTGACGTTTTGACGTTTTTGTGACGTTTTCCATCTTGAATGAATGACTCTTTGACGTGGCATATTCCTGAGTTTTATGACACATTGACGTGGCATATTCCTGAGTTTTATGACACATTGACGTGGCATATTCCTGAGTTTATGACACATTGACGTGCCTTATATTCCTGAGTTTATGACACATTGATGTTTTGACGCTTTTGTAACGTTATTCCATCTTGAATGTATGACTCTTTGACGTGACACATTCTTGAGTTTGTGACATATAGACGTTTTGACACTATTGTGACGTTATTTCATCTTTAATGTATGACTTTTTGACGTGACATCTTCTTGAGGTTGTCACCTTGACGGTTTTGATGCATTTGTGACGTTGTTCCATTTTGAATGTATGACTTTGACGCGACATCTTGTTGATGTTATGTCATATTGACGTTTTAACTCTTTTGTGACGTTATTCCATTTCTCTTTGACGCTATAAATGATGACTCATTGACGTTTTTATCCTTCAATTTATATGACTTTTCGCCGTTTTGACGTTTCACTTTATGACTCTTTGACGTTATGATCCATCGATGCCATTACTATTTGACGTGTTTCCTCTATGCATCACAATTTCTTGACGATGGCTTCCGCATTTTGACTCGCTGCCACAGTAGCTTCTTTTCACTATTTTCTCGAGGTTGTATCT